GTCAGACTCCCCCCTCCCCTAGCCCGGAGGTCCATCCCGAAAGCACCGCTCCCGCCGCCGGAAGCGAGATTGACCCGCCCGCGGCCGCTCTAGCCGCCAGGGCCGCCACCAACGAGAGTAAGGCGGCAGCCGTCACGTGATCACTCACAGTCTCCAAGGCACTTCCCCCCGCCCTGCAGTAGCGAGGAGCGCGGCCAATCAGAAACGCACAAGCGAGGCCCACGCTGACCCGCATTCCAGCCAGAGTGCGCCTGCGCACAGCGGGGGTGTGGGGCCCAGCTCCAACACCGAGGGTTCGTGCCCGGCTGGGTGCTGGAGTGGGAGCGGGCAGTGCAGGTACTGTGCGATCTGGGGGCGCGGCGCCTCCGCTGCCCTCCTTGTGTTGTCACCTCGTGTCGGTAATGCGTCTCTACCCTTATGTTGTTCTCGGTCCTTTTATATCGCCATTCCTCCCCTTACGTCGCATCCCGCTTAAATTGTCACCATTCCCCCTCTTTCGCTATCACCTTCCTTCTGTCGCCATGAACCCCCTTAACTCGCTGTTGTCCCCTTTAAGCGCCCATTGCCACCATAGCGCACAGTTGTGCCTTGTAGTCGCCATCGGCTTCTTATGTCGCCAGCTAAACTGTCATCATACACCCGTGTCACCTTCGCACGTCTCCTGTCACCCTCACCTTAAATCGCGTTCATGTTCCCCTGTGTTATCCTCGCCCTGTGTCACCATCTCTCCCATGTCACGTTTGCTCCTCTAGCTGTCACCGTCCATGCCTCATGCTTCTGGTTTTCCCCGTAAGGAGCCACACTGCCTTACAGGGTTCTTTCCCTCCACATCTCCAGCATTTGCCCGTGTCACATACTCACCACCATGCGGGGTAGAGCCAGAATCCAGCTCCCCCACTAAACTTCTGGGTAACCTTGGCTACCAGTCACACCTTTGCAATCCAAGCTTCCTCCTCTATGAAATGCACACAGGACACCTAAATCAGGGGTGATTGGGAGGATTCTGCCAGTTTATTCTTGTGTTATGTCCAGCTTGACATGGTGATTTGGGCTAATATTGTTAGTAACCATGTCACTCTCACCCTCGTCCAGTCACCTTCATCACCTCCTCATTGTTGCTCTCTCCCTGCCCCCACCTCTTCATCATTGCGATGGCGTCAGTCACACACCGTATACCATGCAGATACCCTCTGCCATGGCAGCCACCCCACATCACGATCTCCACATTGTCCTCACATCTGCCACAGCACCACACTTGAGGGGGTGGCCCATCAGCCATCACGAATCTTGCTCACGTAAATAGTTAATCCTTATCTCTTCACCTTGTTGGACTGAGTGATCTTTACCCAAAAAATGAGAGCATTTAGCTGGTACAGTGGTGTGAGTTGAGGAAGGCGTGGGGGCTGGGGGGAGACTAGAGGACGCTTAGACCCAGACCTCCCTTGACTTCTAGAATTGAGGATACAGAGAGATGAGGCAGGTCCCACCACACCTCAGTCAAACGTCAGCAACCCTGAGTCCCCAGGTAGAATGGTAAGTATCTTATTTAGTCAGCTTGCCTGCGAGAGGCAGTGTAGGACAGTGGCTAGTGGTGTGTCCCTGGGATCTGCAACACCCTGGTTCCAACCTTGATTCTAGCATTTATTTTTTTTTAATATATTTTTTTTTAGATTCTAGCATTTATTTTTTTTAATATATATATTTTTATTTTAGAGAAGGGAGATGGAAAGAGAGATAGAAATATCAATGGTGAGGAGAAGGGAGAGGGAAAGAGAGATAGAAACATCAATGGTTAGGGAGAATTATTGATCGGCTGCCTCTTGTATGCCCCCTACTGAGGATTGAGCCCGAAACCTAGGGCATGTGCCCTGACCGGGAATCAAACTGTGTGACTTCCTGGTTCATAGGTTGACACTCCACCAAAATCAAACTGTGACCTCCTGGTTCATAGGCTGACACTCCACCACGGAGCCATGCCCGTCGGGCGATTCTAGCATATCGTACTTAAATAGTTGCATGACCTGGGCAGATAGCTTAATGTGCCTGTGCCTCAGTTTCATTCCTGCAACACGGGAATGAAAACACAAGTTATTCACTCAGCAACTATTTAGAAAGCATGTTCTACATGCCCAACCCTGTGCTAGGCACTGGGCACACATCAGTGAACGAACCTAGAGATCTCTGGCCCCATGGAGTTTACAATCTAGCAGAGACAAGAGACAATTAGAAACAGGGAAGTAGATTGTAGGATGTTTTAGGAGGGGGGTGGGGACTGCATGATAAAGGTTGTAGTTTTAAATAAGGTGGTCAGAAAAGGTTTTCTGATATGGTGATGTTTGAACAAAGACCCAGATTAAGGGAGAGTGGCGTGGCTCTCCCTTAAGGCAGAGAGAACAGTGAATACAAAGGCCCTGAGGGAAGAACATGGAATATTTAAGGGGTAGCAAGGAGGCCAGTGAGGGAGGAGAGGGCTGGAGGATGAGGTCCGTGGAGTGCTGAGGGCCCATCAGCTTGGCTCTGAGTGAGGTGGGCGGGAGCCACTGGAGGATTTGGCGGAGAAGAGGGACACCATTTGATGTGACATGATGTGACCCAAAGCAGCGGCAAAGTACCAAGGATGGATTGGCAAGAGCAGCCTGGTTGGAAGGAGATCCAGAGTCCTCTTCTTAAAGCTGCACTCATATATCCTTTCTATTTGGAGGACGCATCAAATGTCCCCCTCAAAGATTGGGAGGGGAAGGGATATTGGTAGTTTTTGAGAGGCCAGAGCCACCTCTGGGTTCATCTGCTGTTGGGGAGGGAGGAGGGGGGGCATCTACAGAACTGCAGATAGTAAACAACAGGACAGGCACCTGTCCACCCCTTGGGCCTGAGGCAGATTGAGGTCAAATCCTGGCTCCACTGTTTCCTGGTTGTGTCCCTTTGTGCCAATGACAATCTCTCTGGGTCTTTAGTTCCCTTATCTGTTAAATGGGGCTTTAAAAAAAAGAATTAAATGTATAAACTGCTTAGATCAGTGCCTGGTTTGATAAACATAAGGAACCCTACCTTCTAGCCCCACATCCTGCACTTTCACAGGCACAGGCCTCCCTCGGAGCTGCAAGGAAAAGACATTCTGTTTCTTCGCTGTCCATGAGTTGGTTTGTCAGTGTAGTATCCTGGAGCAGAACTGAGCTCTGTTCAAATTCCGGGCCAACAAACCGACACTATGCAACCTAGGTAGTAATTTCCTTGAGCCCTGCCCTGCATCTGAAAAACAGGGCTAATAATGCTCTTTCCCCCCGATATGTTGTGTTATTTTTGAATTCAGATATCCACCATTTTCTGTTGTAATACCACCATCCTCCTCCCCTGCTTTCTTTTTCTCCAAGACACATTTTATGTTTCACTCATTTATCTATTGTTTCACTCCCCCCCTCTCCGCCCCCAGATGCCATCTTTACCAGGGATTTTGTTTCTGTTCTATGCTGTATTTTCAATTTCTAGACAGGGCTTGTCAGCAGGTACTCACTGAATAAATACAAGTTGAATAACTAGATGAATGAATTGGCCCCTGAGCACCTGCCATGTACTGTCCCTGTGTTGGGTGGTAATGGGGACATAAACGTGACTGAGACAGCCTCACTCTGCCCTCGTAGGTTTCACAGTCCAGTGGGAGACACAGCTCCATCACCAGGCAGTGACGGCCTAGAGTGGTCAGGGCTAGGATGGAGAACCTCGGGGGACTGTCAGAGTCCAAAAGGGGTACCTGAACCAACTAGGGGGTGAGGGAGAGCTGCCTGGAATAGATGGGACTCTGGTTGATAGGCGTGAGCAAGATGAAAGGAGAAGCTGTGGGAGGGTTGGCGGTAAAAGTGGTTTCAGTTCAAGGAACCGAAAGATATTAAAAATGGCTGCGTCATCAAGGATGAGGAGAGTAAGTTATTCGGGAAGATCGTTCAGGACTCAGATCCACAGTGAGGACATTGGGGCCCACGGGGAGTTTTTGAGTGGGGATGGAAGGCAAGTCACACTCGGAGGGGGATTGGAAGGGTTGAGTGAAGGCTGGAAAGGAGGTGGCCAGAGAGTCCAGGTTGAAGCTATGGGAGAGATAAGGGGTGGGTGGGAGAGACCCTCAGGAGGCCAAGGAGACACATGGGGGGGGGGCGTCTAGGATGAAGCCGAGGGCTCCCTCGGAGTCAGGGAGGGATTTCTGGAGGAGCTGGCACACAGGGTGAGACCTGAAGGATGGGTAGGACGGCTGTCCTTGAAATGGCCCAGAGGAGGAGCAGATTTGGGAGAGATGCTAAGGAGAGTTGGGGACATAGCGGTGTAAGGGGGTTGGGGACACCTTGAGGGACGTATCTAGAAGGCCATGAGACTTCCAGAGTGGAGTTCAGGGAGGAGGTGAGAGTTGGAGATGGCTTTGGTGTCAGAGGGGGACCTGGATCTGCAATGGTGGGGTCCCTAGAGGGCATGGCACTTTGTCCTGAAGGCAATGGGAACCCACAGTGGGGTTTTGAACAGGGAGGGGACAGCTTAGACTTTGAATTCCAAATCAGAAGTATTCACCATTCATGATGGGTTTTATTTGTTTTATTTTGACCTATTTGATTGTTTTTCAGGCGAGGCACCTTCTAGGGAGGAGTCTTTTGAAATAAAGATTCTACTGCTAAAAACAAAAACAAAAAAGTTTACAAAACCAATGCTCTGTTTTGTTTTCTGTAGACTTAACCACAGACAGTTGATTGTTCAGTCCAAAGAGGCCTGCATGATCAAGGGAAAATTGGCTCCTTTAAACACGAGAACATTTCAGTTTGAGCCACATGGGAGGTCCATGGGTTTGTGGGTGCTTCACGTGTGCTTCAGCAGCTAAGTGGCCCCCACCCTCCTTTGCACTCAGATGGCTTGAATCAACCTTGAATTTTACTCTCAGTTTGAGATGCTATGACCTGCTCCTACTCCATCTGTTCTGGGCTTAGAACACAAGCTGGTTATCACTGTATATAAAACAAGTGTCACAAGGACTAGAGAGACAGCTAAGAAAATCCTTTCTCAGAGATTTCCATTCTATTCCATTTCTTCTGTTTTTAACAGACATTTCTTGAGTGTACAGTATGCTGGGCACTGGCAGGGAGCGGGGGTAGAGGAATAAACCAGACACAGACTTCGTTTTTCAGGGGACACACAAGATTATCTGTGATCAAATAGGGGACATACAGTTCTCACCAGCCAGCTTCTATCGGAAGTGTGCTGTGCTACCTGCCTGCCGTGGATGGATTCATTGACTTCCCAGCAAATGTGAGGTTGGTATATAAGTCGCCCACTATCTGAGAATGAAAGTAAGGCTCAGAGAAGGGAGCCTCTTTTCCCAGTGACACACAGAGCTGAGACCTGGATGCGGGGCTCTGGGACTTTGAGACCCACCCCCATATACCATTTGGAGATCCCCCAGCCACTGTGCCCCAGACAGTGTCTAAACTGTAAGATGATCCCATTTTATAGATGAGGCCAGCAGGGCTCAGAGAAGCAAAGCCCCCAGCCTGAGGTGACTCCTGAAGGAAGTGACAGTGTGGGATTTGAACCCTGGACTCTCCAATCCAAAGCTGTGGAGGAGGGATCAAATCTTCCCAACCCCACCCCCTCACCCAGGAGGGGAGCTGTACCAATGTGTCTCAAAAGCCTTGTGGGTTTTGCTTCCTCCTTTCCTGCGGTCTGTGGTGTCACACAAGCAGGGAGGGCACAGGTCAAGGGGACAGGACATTCCATGGGCGGGAGAGGTGCAAGGAAGGGGAGCATAAGGACCAGCCTGGTCATTGCACTGGAGCCCCGTGGGGGCTTCTAGGAACCTGGGAACACAGGAGACCAGCTGAGGACAATGCCAGCACCTGCCAGCCTGGCTCGGAGCCCTGCTGCTCCAGCCCTTCAGTTCATCCTGCCTGCTCCCCTGGGACCTGGGGTGGGAGCGCCCGATACTTCTCCAGCTGAATTCACAGTCCTTTTCTGAAGACTAGAATGTGGGGGGAGGACACTCCAGCTAGGAGCCTGAGCCTCATATTTTAATTTCCATAGACGTCCTATGTGCATTTTAAAAATTAAATAGCAACTGAACTGCAACCACCTTGGCTGGAGTTGGGGATAGTAATGATGATGCCTTTTTTCTTTCTTTCTTTCTTTTTTTTTTTTTTTGCCTGTTAGACTTGACACATCACATTTATTCAGAACCTCTTACATGCCCATTCTGTGCGCTTGATATGTATTAATCCTTTAGTTTGAAGGATCCACCTGGATAGTTGTTTTTTAATATATTTTTATTGATTTCAGAGAGGAAGGGAGAGGGAGAGAGAGATAGAAACATCAATGATGAGACTCATTGATTGGCTGCCTCCTGCACACCCCGTACTGAGGATCAATCCCGCAGCTGGGCATGTGCCCTTGACTGGAATCCAACCGGGGACCCTTAAGTCCGCAGGCTGATGCTCTATCCACTGAGCCAAACCAGCTAGGGCCATTCATTCTTTATTTATTCCTGCTCTTTTCCTCAAATTTGCTCCTCCTTAATCTTCCCTAGCTCAGCTACTGGCATCTCCATCCTTGAGTTGCTCAGGCCCAAACCCCTGGAGTCACCCTCAACTCCGTCCTTTACCTGGATTCTGCATCCAATTGGATTAGAGATCCCATCAGCTCCACCTTTAAAATGTAACCAGACTCCATCCAATCTTCTAGTGGCTGCCCCCACCCTGGTCCTGTCCACCTTGACTCCACCCTGGTCTCCCTGCTCCAGCTCCTGTACCCCCTTCCCCAAGTCTGCTCACCACACAGCCAGGGGGAACCTGCAAACCACACCAGTTGTCCATGTGGCCTTAACAAGTTACCACAATCAGGGTGGTTTAAAACAACAGAAGTTTCTTCTCACAATTCTGGAGGCTAGAACTCCAAAATGAAGGTGTTAGCGAGGCCATGGCCCCCCCACCCTCCAGAGGCTCTAGGGGAGATTCTGTTCCCTGGCTCTCCCAGAATCTGGTGGCTCAAGGCATATCTGGGTTTACGGCTACATCACTCCAATCTCTTCTGTCTCTCAGAGACACTTGTCCTTCGATTTAGGGCCCACCCAGATAATCCTTTATTCGATTAGATCTGCAAAGACTTTTTTTTCTTTTAATTTAAATTTTATTTTTCAATCACAGTTTACATTTAATATTATTTTGTGTTAGTTTCAGGTGTACAGCATAGTGGTTAGACAACCATATACTTGATCACGTGCTCCCCTGATATTTCCAGTACCCACCAGGCACCTTGCATAGTTATTACAATATTACTGACTATCTCCCCTATGCTGTACTTTACATCCCTGTGACTATTCTGTTACTACCAATTTGTACTTCTTTTTGTTTGTTTGTTAATCCTCACTGGAGGATATTTTTCCCATTGATTTTTAGAGAGAGTGGAAGGGAGGGAGGGGGAGAGAGAGAAACATCGATGTGAGAGAGACACTTCTGTGCACAGACTGCCACTAATCAGCCACACTGGCCAGGGCCCAATTTGTACTTCATAATCCCTTCACCTTTTCACCTCCCCTCTGGCAACCGTCAGTCTGTTCTCTGTAAGGACCCTTTGTAGATGTCACATTCACAAGTTCCAGGGGTAATGCCCACATCAGATATATCTTTTTTGAGGCCACAGTTCAACCCACTACAACACAAAAGGCAGGACCCTCCTCTGCTCAGGCCCTGTCTTCACCATGGTCCAGGTAACCCTGTATGGCCTGCTCCTGTCACCTCCCAGACTCATCTCTCCCTCTCCTGCGTGCCTACTGTGCTACAGACGCACTGGCCTTCCCTCTGCTTGGAACACTTCCCCAAGGAAGTCCAGGTAGCTCCTTCTCTGAGAGGCCTTCTCTGACTTAATTAAAATTGCAAACAACCCCACCCCCACCTTTACCCCTATCCCTCTTTCCTGATTCTCTATAGTACTTATTACTATAATTTACATATAATTTACTTATTTTGCTTTTTGTCTGTCTTTCCTCATGTCTGTTTTGTTCACAGCATTATCCCCAGAGCCTAAAACAATACCAAGTACACAAGGTACTCAATAAATATGTGTAAAATTCATGAACAACCTTATGAAAAGTGCTATTATTACCATGCCCATTTTGCAGATGGAGAAACTAAGGCACAGTTGCATTGTCATTTTTCAAGGTTATACGGTCACATAAGTGTAGAGGCTCATATATGAATCCTCATATATGGAACCCACTTCTCCAGTACTAGTGTTTTGCTTTGATGAAAGTACAACAGAAGTTACAACCAAACTCCTCATTACAGTCCCTGTAATCACTATACTAGTAGAATTTGAAAGCCAGAAGGTCACTAACCGTTTCAGTGAACTCCCTCTATTTTCTTCCTGTTTTCGGTTTATTAGCGGCATCCCAGTTCCCCAGGCTCAGTGTGTTCAGTCCTGTCCCTCACCTCTCCAAGCCTCACTGCTCCCTCAGTTTTGCCCTTGTTCATCTCAGCTTTCCTAACGTCACACCTGCTGTTCCAACCCTTTAATCTTAATGCAACATTTCTCACCAAGGCCTTTGCAAATAAATAAATAAATGGCAAGTCCTGGCTGGTGTGCTCAATGGTTAGAGTGTCAGCCCAAGGACCAAAGGGTCATGGGTTCAGATTCAGGGTCAAGGGCACCTACCTGGTTTGTGGGTTCGCTCCCAGCCCCTGATGGGGGCTTATGCAAGAGGCAACCAGTCCATGTGTCTCTCACATCAATGTTTTTCCCACTTCCTCCCTCCCCTCCACTCTCTCTGAAAAGCAATGGAAAAAATATCCTCAGGCGAGGGTTAACAAAAAAGGCCTAAGTTGTTTCCTGCCCCATACCTCCTTCCCCCACCCTGAAACCCTGCTACCAACCACCTCTAAGACTGTTGTCTCCTTGCTATCTTCTGCTCTGTAATCTCAGAATACCGTGGTAAATTGCCAGTTCTTGCTGGATCCATTTGCCCCGTCTCCATTTGTCTCCCTGCAATGAGAGGATGGGTCTAGCTGCTCTACCTTCCCCAACCTGGGATCCTGAAAATACAAATACATTAAAATGCAATTCTAACCCACCCCCAAGTCCCGCTCTCAAAGCAACCACTTCTGACGCTCTTCTCTCAAAAATATACTTTTCTGCATTTATCTGTTAACTTCCTGCCTGGCTGGGGGGAGGGGGTCCTGCCCCCCATTCACTGACAGAAGTGGGTGGGGAAGGGTTCTCCAATTTATATCTGCAGTGATGGCCTTAATCCTCCTTGGGAGATAGGAGACTGAGAGGTGGGAAACCCAGCCTATCCGCGAGCCAGAGCCTGGATTCAGAAACAACATTTTTAAAAATCCCTATCAGTTGGCTTTTAAAAAAATGATAAATCAAGTAAAATAGACTCCAACAGAAAACCCACCGTCTCCTTTCCCCGCCCTGCTCTTCCCACGCAGAGCGTGAGCTGTCACTCAACTTTGATGTCTCCATTTTATTTTATAAGTTTTTAAAACATTATCTTATGTATTTATGTTTGATTAGGCAATGCATGCCCGTGGTACGAAACTTCACAAGGTTTGTAGAGAGAAAAGATGGGGGGGTGGGGGCGGTGTCTTTTTTAAATTCTCACCCGGGAGTACGTTTCTCACCGAATTCTAGAGACGGAGAAACATCCCTCGGCCGCCTCCACAGCGCCCCCTACGGGATCAGACCGCGCCCTCTTCGCTGGGCGGCAGGAGGTTCTAACCAGCCCAGCCCCCGGCGGGGACGCGGGATCCTTTTTCTTTACCTGTGGCTTCCCTGCCTTGTACGGGTGGCTCTGGGGTCGGGTGCAGCAAAGTCCATGCCCCGGCCGTGTACTCTCCCCGCCAGGCCAGGTAGGCGGAACCTACCTGGGGGCCCGGCCCGCCTGGTCCCTGCGCAGACTCCCTGCTGCAGAGGCGGAGCCTCCTCGGTCCCCGCCCCCGCCTTCCACTCGCCCCAGTTCAGCCTGTTGGGGCAGAAGCTGGGGCCCCGCAGAGTAGCAGCTGCAGCTTGCCGACCGAAGCCGAGGCCCCTCCGGGCAGGGGAGGGAGGCGGG